GTGAAGAACCGGCTCATGCAGTATGCCATGGGTGTTGTGTGATGTGCCTTTGAAACAGGCGGCGGCGCCACCGCCTGGGCGTTGTGCTATGGGATGATGGTGGCACCTTCCCTAGGCGTCACACGTGGAGTGAGAACGACTTGCAAGGGGTGCGACACGCGTGTGGCGCGAGCAATGTAGCTGATTTTTACAGCACGATCAAGATGAGTTGGGGCAGTAGGCATGCCGAAAACTGAAGAGACTGAACATGGCAGCTCTTGGCGTCTGCTTGTGTCGTGCCACGCTCGACTAGTCGAGCTCTGCTCTTGGGATGATGACGTGTGCGACGCCCTCAACAGTGCTGCTCAATCAAGAGCGCGCGCTGCACGCACTTGTTCTGTTGGCAAATTTCCTTGAAATCGCCTTGCAGAAATCGTTTGTTGCGTAAGGCACAGAGGCCAGATCATCGTCAGCGCTCACCGCGACATGGCTCTTGGGGCTCGGATCGGTCCTCAAAACACTCTTAGAAGTCGCGCGCAGCTTTCAAGTCGCCTGCAGCGGGCCGCAGCACCATCGCGTCCCCGCCCCCGCTCTCACGCGCATGGCGCCGTGGCCGCTGACGGCGCTGCGCAGCAGCCGGCCGAGGAGGCGCCCTGCGCCCTGCTGGTGGAGGTGAGCGCCCCTGACCACGCCCGGGGCCGTCCCACTTGGCTCGGCAGCAGCGCCCGCGCCCTGGCCTTGACTATGACTAAACCTGGTGGGCCAAGGGGGTGGCCGTGCTGCGTCCCTCACCCACCACAGGGCACCCTTAAGCGCGGCCCTGCGCCCCCCCCCCCCAAAGGTTGACGGCGCCCTCACAGACCTGGTGATGGACGGTCATAGGTGAGGCCACCCACCAAAATCAGGCCTAGGGAGCGCCCCCTCGCTTCCCCCGGGAGCCCAACCAACCGCGGCGCGGCGGCGCTCTGTTGATAGCCGGCCTGTGCCCTAAGGCGGCCGTCCTGTTTGCCACTCACACTCCTTGCGGGCCCCCAACCTCACAGCTTCACGCAATGGTTGAACCACTCTGGCTCTGCAGGGAAGCCTTCAACCGCGCGTTCCGCGATTTCGGGGTCGAGTGCGCCAACTGGTCGCCCCCCCTGGTGCGCGCAGCGGCGTCTGCACAGCCCTGGCGCCCCTCAGCCAGCGGCCATGACCCGTGCGGGAGCCTCCCGCGCGCCCGGCCCCCCCCCCTGCAGCTGCATGTTCCCCGTAGGCGCGCGCCTGGCGTCCTGACGCTGAGTCCAACCCACCCCACCCCGCGAGCGCTTCATCGCACCCACTCCAACCCCCAACCCGTTCCTGCGGCACTTGCCCCTCCCTGTGCGCCCTTCACCCATCACCCAAGTTTAATGACCTGATGTCGCACAGCGACGGCACAGGGGAGGGCCTGGTGGCGGCGTTTTTCAGGTGTGGGCTGTTTTGGCGGGGGGTGGGGATGTGTGACGCAGCCCAGGGACCAGGAGTGCCGAGTGGACGGTGTCACGCGGTCGTTGCGGCGAGTGGGTGGAGCAGGTGTGCGTTGCTCATGACAAAGACTCTAGGGGTGGCCCCCAAGACGCACTGAGCACAAATGTCATTTGTGGCCCCCACGTCTTGTGTGGTGTCCATGTCATGTGTAGCACGCACCACCCCGGGGATGCAATCTATCTGACCCTCAGCTCTGCCAACAGCACCCTCACCCGAGCACCCTCACCGCACGCAACGCCCACCCTTGGTGCACCGCAGCCGCATCGGGTGGCCCCTGACGGTCGGCAAGGGGGAGGAAGACGTCTTTGCGCGCAAGGTGGGCGCGGCTGGGCCTCTCCTTTTGGCCGCGTCGACTCCTGCTTTCCTGACTCTGCGACCGACCTCTTATTTTTGCCATGCACTCATCTCCCTGCCGCTTGGCCAAGTGTAATCCCCCTCCGCGTCACCGCACACACACTCCTCGACGTCACCAGTAGACACCGGGCGCCCCCCCCCCCCGGGGGCAAGCCCTCACTTTCAGCACCCTGCAGCTGCATCCTCGCACAAGCGTGATCCCCCACCGCGACGGCACCGCCCCTGTCGCCCCTTCGATCCTAAACCCTGTCAGGTTCACGAGCTCAAGCAGCAGCACCTGAGGCGCATGCTGAGGGGCGGGCAGGTGCCCCTGCGGCAGGACGTGCAGCGGGTGGGTGCCCCGCCATTGAGCGCAAAGCGAGGACGCCTTCACCCCCGACAGTGTTGGCGAATCTGAAAATCGTGGGGCGGGGGCCACCGCCCCCCGACTGCAAAGGAGCGCGAGGGCGCACGACCCTCAACGGCCGGGCAAGACGGGCGCTTTTTGGATGGGGCTGGCCGCGCCGCGCCGGGGTTGCAAACACCGCAGGCGCCAGCCCCTTCGCGTACGCCTGGGTGGCCTTCGTCTGTCAGGCACCTGTTCTGAATTCTAATTCGTGCTGCCGCCTGCCTTCCGAACGGACCCGTTGATTATGGGATGCAGGTGCTCCGGGACGCCATCGCCGGCGGCGCGGTGGTCGCGCTGCTGGCTGAGACGGCGTCCGCCCCCGACGAGGACGTGGTGGGAAGCTGCCTCTCGCAGGTGGATGCTGACCTGGCGCCCTCCCTCCGCGTGTACACCGCCGGCCTGCATCGGGCCCCGGACGAGGAGGGCGAGGACGGGGGCGCGGACGCGGACGGGCGGCTGCCGGCGGGGGACGGCGTCGGGGCCTTCCGCGCCGCTGCGGCGCGCGTGCAGCAGCAGGCAGCGGAGGCGTTCGTCGCGCGGCTGGCGCAGGACGCGCCGAGCGGCGCGGCGCGCGTCGGCGTCGCGGCGAGCCTCCAGAACGCCGCAGGTGGGCGCGCGATGACGCTTGTCGCGCTTGATGCGTGCACGCCAGCATTTGCGCGGGGTGATTGTGCTGCACGCGGGCTACCAGCCGCACCGCTGCCTCCCTGCCTTCCTGCACCCTCATGAGCGAGCACTCCCCTCTCCCGCCCCCTCTCCCCCCCGCCTGCACTCTCAGCCCGCCGCCTCACGCCAGAGTGGTTCGGCGCGATCGCCGCCACCCTCGGCGTCCCCGCCTCCCGCTGCTTGGTCGTCGCGTCGGGGGGGTCTGTCGTCGCCGCCGCCGCGCAGGCGGGCATGGTGGCGGCCGCGGTGCCGCGGCAGGGCGCGCAGTATGCAACATACGACGCCGCCGTTGCCAAGTTCGAGGGCTTTGGCCCCGGCTACGCGACGTGGCCGCGGCTCAAGTCCCTGCTCACCAGCACGGCGGCGCAGCGCGGCGCGCGGCGGTAGCCCCAGGGGCAGCTGGAGGCACGGGCGGCGGCGGCGGCACGGTCTAGGCCAGGCAGGCGAGGGCGCCACGGCCTGGACATGTACAATAACCATTGTGACTTGAATTAGTGGAATTCTTTCGTTGCACAGTGTCGTAAGCGTGTGCGTGCACACGAATGTGCATCGCTGAGTGTTGCCAGTGCCAGGTGGAGGTGGTTGTCGGCGCCGGGAGCCATGGGTGAGGTGGTGAGCCTTGAAAAGTGTAACATATGCTTGGGAGACGAGCGAGGCCGGTTATGGCGGGGTTGAGCGGAATATTGGAAGGGGCAGTGCAGGGTGCCATCTTGTGGCGGGGTGAATGACATCACGAGAACTAGTGTTGAGCCATGACGGTTGCTGCTACCGTATCACGAAGTATGTCACTGCAGGAGGAATCTGAACAGGAAACCTTGTGAACCAGCCATAGCAGCACAAGGGATGGCTCATTTGTACAGAGCAGTCCGATATATAGCATCATCTTATCCCAAACTCCCACTTCTGAACCAAGACACCTGCGACGCCCCATTTGCCCATCGTCAGCACAAACTTGGTTGGAGCCCCCCCAAAGCGCGCACGGCGCACGAGGTGCGAGGTGCTGATCTTGTCCGCAATGCGCTTCGTTTTTGCCATATACTGAACCTTTCCACTGCAAGCACATGCCATATTGACCTCCAGGCGCCGCTTCATTGTACCGTAGATCGCAGCGCGCCATACTGACCGCAAGTCTCTCTCCCGGGATTGAGCCATCCAATTGCGTCGCATATTCAGCTGTACATAACTCTCGACACGTTTTGTGAACCCACACCTCACGGTCGCTGCCTGATTGCAGGTTCAAGGTGGCCCCCGATTGAACTCCGCCCTGCGTGAAAGGCCGCAATCGGCCCTCATATACGACATTCATTTGATCTTAGTCGCGCGCTGTGCGTTGGTGGGGGCCGTCCCTTGCAGCCCCACGCGGAGTCTCAGCTCGCGCTGACGCCCTGGGTGTGTCTGCCACAACGGCCCCTGTTCGGAAGCGCAAGGCGTTATATGTTGCGATGAGAAGCCCTTCTTTCGCATTGTTGAGCACGGGGCACGTCCCAGGCTCTGCGCCGGCGGCGCCCCAGGCCAGTGCTGCCGAAGCGCTACTCGCGCCGGTTTCCACCCACAGCCGTCCGCAGCCGCAGCAGCAGACGGCTGTCGGCAGTGCCCTATTTGCAAACAACGGCGTCGAGGCGCACGTTTCCACCAAGCTCGCAGCACCGGATGACCGCCCCTGCTGCGACCTTATGTCAGCGGCTGAACTGCAGGCCGCGGCGGCGGACTGCACCGCCGACACCCCGGCCGTAGGCACGCCTGCCGCGCCACCTGGGCCCCTTCAGCAGCCGCTGCTGTTGCAGCAGCAGTACCAGCAGCAGCAGCACCAGCAGCAGCACCAGCAGCAGCAGGATCACCAGCAGCCGCAGCTGCAGCAATATCGGGAGCCTCGCGAGCAGCACCACCAGCAGCAGCAGCAGCAGCAGCAGCAGCAGCAGCAGCAGCAGCAGCAGCAGGAGCAGCAGCAGCAGCAGCAGCAGGAGCAGCAGCAGCAGCAGCCGCACGCAGACGAAGATGCGGCGATCTCTGAGCCCTCAACCCCCCAGGAGGAAGACTTCCGCCACCTCGCCAACCAGGGCAGCTACAACCTGGATGCAGGCAGCTCCCCAGGCGTCAGCGAGGCCCCAAACAAGGGCAGCCGCGCCCCCACCCCCGACCCCGCAGCCCGCAGCCCCAGCAGCGGCCCGCGACGCGCCGGCGCGCCCGGCAGCGCGGCGGCGGGGCGGCCGCGAATTGATGCGCAGCTCGCGGCGCTGACGGAGGCCCAGCTGCAGCAGCTGCAGCAGCAGCTGGCGGCGGGGCAGCAGCTGCCGCCCCCGGCGGCGGTCACCCCGCAGCAGCGTGTGCCCCAGCCCCAGCAGCAGCAGCAGCAGCAGCAGCAGCAGCAGCAGCAGCAGCAGCAGCAGGAGCAGCAGAAGCAGCAGCTGCTGCCGCTCGAAGCCGAGGCCCAGCCGCCGCCAGAGGCGTGGCAGCCGTCCGTGGCGTACCCGCAGCAGCCGTCCTCGCGCCAGGGCGCCAACGCGATACCCCCGGGCGTCGTGGGCACCTTCTTCCCCGTGGTGCGCACCCCCTCAGCCCCCCACGCCTCATCCCCCCTCGCCTCACCCCACGCCCGATGCCCCACCTCGCACCTCTGCGGCCGTATGGTGGATGTATACACACATCCGGTGCCTCGCGTTTTGCACACAGCTCAGCTTGATCCCGCGGCCAGCACTCTCGCGCGCCGGCAGGGATCCCCCAGGGCCCCCCAGGGCCCCCCAGGGCGCACCGTGGCTGCATCACGCTTGCTCGCTCTCACCCCGAGCGCCGCCCGCCTCTCCGCCGA